GTACTATGCTTTAATATTTTAGACGCACTTTATTTTATTGATTTAATATATTGAAAACTTCGTCTAAAGCAGGTTGTCTATTAAAACTATCTTCAGACGAAAATCATATATGTTCAATTGATTATCCTAAAAGAACGGTTTTCGTTTAAGAAGTATTTTTCCTTAGTAGACGATGAAACTCCCAGACGCAAAATAATTTTTTTGAACCTATTTTGGATAGATTTTGATCAGCATTCGCTGATAAGATTTTACTGGACGAAAGAGTGTCTATTTGTGAAAAAATGTTTTTAAAATTCACACACACATATTCAACCCCTACTTCTATGTGTTTTTCATCTAACTTCAAATCAGTTTCAATACATAAGTTCTTCGTCCCATACTCCCAAGAAATCTCTAGGGATGTTAAAATAGCATGCATTTCAACTTCCATAATAAAGCAAGGCTCTAACTTTTGGCAGAAACCTTTCACCCAAGTCCTTTGCTCGTCATGCAAAACACCCCCATAGCCAACTTGAGTACCCCCTAAGTGAATAACAACATCAACATTGAGTTTTAGCCACCCTAAAGGTGGTGGAACCCAAACTTTCAACTGATCTTCCCCCTGCAAGAGCCTATAATCCCCCACCTTCCATTGCTAATCAACCTCCAACATCAAAAATTTAACTTTCCTAATAACCTCCTCTTCCTTCCAAACCCAATTAGAGAAAATGACATCATTCTTAGCCATTCAAATAGACCAAATGGTAATACAAATATTGAATTCCAAAGTATTGATGAGGAGGTAGTGTTGTTGTTAATCCACTCGGTAAAGTTTGATGTAAATAAGAAACCACCTAAAGACCTATTATACTCATTTAACAAAGAACACCAAATCGGGTAGACTAGAGGGCAATATCTCAAGATATAAATGTCTTCCTCAGCTGCATTATGACAAATAGCACACAAGTTATCATCAATCGTCCCATAATGTTCATGACGAACATTAGTTTTAAGACCCCCTGCAAAATAAGCCAAATAAACAACTTCACACGGTGAGAACCTTTTCACCTCCAGAACTGATGGAAATATGCCAAGGCCAAGGAATCCAAGAGGTGATACATTAAAGGAACCAAGAGGAATGGGATGATTTTGAAGACCTTTCATATATTTATAAATATAGTAGTTACTTGTATATGTTTATTTTTCCTTTGTATTTATGAGGCACTTTATTTCCTTTTTATAGATCATTGTATAGCGAATTTAGTGTAGGTTCTTTGGAGACTTTTACTCCATTTGACCTTGTATTAAAGTTCATTCATTTTTACTTTTTCAGTAGTAGAAGTGGGGTGACAAATATCAAAGCTTGAGGGTGTGTTTAGCAATTGGGCCAGAATTGGGCCTAGGCCAAATTTTACATATTGGACTTGTTTTGCTCCATATTTTTCAAGGAATTGATTTAGCTAGGTCTCACCATCATTGGATGAACCTAGCTAAACCAAATCCAAAATCTTTGAAATAAATCAAGTGGAGAAACAAGCCCAAGGCCGCCTAGCTCTCTCATTTGGTCGGATTGCTTCATGAACCTTAGAGCCTTAGGAAGCTTGTGATACAAGCTTCTAAAGCTAGCTAAGATAGAATCTTGCTCCACAAGCCTCCTAAACTAGAGTGGACGGTCAAAGTTAAGCCAACCATGGTTCACTTGAACCATGGTTAAGCTTAGCTTCCTCCACAAGCTTCCTACTTCTATATATTCTTAAACCTTTCATTTATAGACACTTTTGGATGTTAATGAACAAAATTTTCTCTCAAAATTCTCTCTTCCAAGAGCCAAAACCATGGAGAAACTCTCTCCCTTAAGAACCTTCACAAAGGACTTTCTCCTTTGTGCCTTGGTTTCCTCCTTCTTCTTTTCCTTCAAGAAGAACCGAGCCATCAAGAATGGCTTCTAGCAAGCTTTGAAGCTTGCTTTGCTTCCGCCATTATCAACCTTGAAGAACCTCCAAGAGCTAGATTGGACATCGGATGGAGCTTGAGGAAGAACACCAATCACTTTTCTAAGTCGTTTCCATCAAGAACTTCTTACAACACGTAATAGAAGAGTCGTGATGAGCATTGGCCTGAATTATAGTATAAGTTGACTTCTCAATGAAAATGCCATCAACAATAAGGCTCCAAACAAGTTTATCTTCCCCATTGTGGAAACAAGGAGGATGAGGATTTTTAATGAGACTTATATAGAGAGGAGAGAGGAGAGATGAACTATTGAAGGAACTACACCTCCCACTCTCCTTTCACATTCACATAATCACACACCCTCCTGGACTTATCTATTATAGTTGGTTTATGATAAGCCATAAAAAAAAACATTATTTCCCATAGGAAGCCAAACATCCTTCCAAAATCTAGCACTGCAACCATTCCCAATCACCCAATGTAGATTATGAACAACCAAATTTGACACTCCAACAATGGCCTTCTAGGATTGGGAGTTTATAGACTTGGCTTTCATAATAGGAACCAACCCATGGCTGTAATTATACTTCTCTCTAAGCACTTGGACCCAGAGCTCGGAGGGATTGGAGATGAGTTCCCACACCAACTTCATCATGAAAGCTTTGTTAAATAACTTTAGGTTCTGAAAACCCAAACCCCCATTTAGCTTATGATCACAAAGAGTGCCTCAAGAAATAGAATGCCACCCTCTACTAGCTTTCCTATCATTCCAAATAAATCGATGTTGTATACCCTCCAGTTTATCACAAATGCCCCTAGGAATTAAGGTGGATTGCATAGTATATGTCAGCATAGCTTGAATTACATTTTGAGCCAGGTAACTCTCCTTACAAAAGACAACTAATTCTCCTTCTGGCCAACTAGCCTATTATTGGCTTTTTGAATAATATGTTGAAACGGTGCTCTAGTCTTCCTAGTATGGAGCAAGGGAACACCTACGTACTTTCCCAGGTATACTATCACTTTAAATCCCACCAAATTAGTCAATTCCGCTCTCCTAGTATGATGAGCACCTTTCAAAAAAATTACTCTCGTTTTGGCCCCACTAACCTTAGTACCCGCTACATTGCTAAATAAATCCAAACAATTTTTCACCACGTCCATTTGAGGTTGGGATGCCTCCCCAAACAAAAGGAGATCGTCAACAAAGAATAAGTGAGACAACTTTATCCCATGCACCTTTAGCCATGACAAGCAGTTTCCATTTCCCCTCTACCAGACTTTTATCAATCAATTGAGATAGCCCCTCCACACGTAAAACGAAAAATATATGGAGAAATGAGATATCCTTGCCTAAGGCCATGTTGAGGAGTGAAACTATCAATTTTTCCTGTTAACACAAACATGAAAGGACATAAAAGACAAACAATGGCAAATAACAAAGATAAAGTGGTCTCCAAAACTCAAATTATTAAGAGTATCCACCACAAAAGCCCATCTAACGTTGTCATAAGCCTTTTCCAGATCAAATTTAATCGTCATAAAACCATATTTCCTCTTGGTTCTTTGAATAGTATGGAAAGCTTCTTGGGCAATAATAATGTTGTCCCTACCTTGTCTCCATGTAATAAAACTAGTTTGTCTTGGAGAATTGAGAGTATTCATATGGTTCTTCAGTCTTACTACCACCAACTTAGTAAGCGCCTTATAGATCACATTGCATAGGCTAATTGGCCGATAATCCTTAATAGAGGAAGGATGGTTACTCTTAGGGATTAGAACAATATTAGTTTGATTGATCTCTCTTAATAGAGTTAGGATATAGGAAAGCTTCTATAACCCTATTACACATCAAGACTCCTATAGTATCCCATTGTGATTGGAAGAAAATAGGATGCAAACCATATGGGTCAGGTGCTTTCAACCCCCCATACTCCATTTTAAAGTATATATATAACACTCATTATTTTAAAGATTTATAAAAAAAAATATTTAAAGTGTTACATGCATATAAAGTATTATAAACAATTGTGAGTATCACTTTGGATGGTCGTAAAACCTTCTAATAAACACATATGTACATAATTAAAAAGAGTCACATAATAATAAAAAACTAAATCCATATTTTTGAATTTTAGACATAATAGTAAAAATAAATATAAAAAAATTTATACTTACCAAAATCTAAATATATTCATTTTCTAAGGATTAAAAATATATTTAAGTCTTTTTATATAATAAACCAAAAAAAAAAAAAAAACATTCTCTACTTCAAATTTTTGAAAAATTAAATTTTATGTGTACCAAACACCTCCGACTTTATTCATTAGATAACCAAATAGTGTGACAAATAACATTATCTAAGTCAAACATTTGATTCTAAATCGGTGTGTATAGAGAGGTCGGAAAAAGAAAAAAAGAAAGAAAAAAAAACTGTTACAACTGAAGGGAGGCACCTTCTTGACATAACAATGCAGCTTAATTTTCATGACGCCAGCAACTATGGTTCTATTTCTGTAAGAGTAGCAAGGAAAGAACATTTAGGCACTCTAAGATTCTTTCTTTTTATTTTATCCGCATCTTTCACTAACGAAGTTTTACACTATGGATATGAGGAGTTCCATTAATTTCCTTGTTCCTAAAGGAAGGTAGAGAAATTGAAATTAAATTCCTTCATATTATTATTTCATTTCTGTGTTGGTACCCTTCGTTTTCCTTTCTTTAAATGATCACGAGATGTCAAACTCCAGAAACTAATATAAAATTTCATAGAATCATGCAAGAAACAAGAACCAGAGGATCTTAAAATGAGGTCCACTCATTTGGTTCAAATCAAATGAATTAAGGGTCTGGATTCAAATTTGCCCAATGTTTGGACTTCAGAGCTACAATGAACATTTTCTACAATCATTGGTTAATTGACGCCTTTAATCATAGTTAGATATCACAAGTTGCAAACAACATATAACTACAAAAGGTACCAAAGGGGGAAAATCATATGTTCAGAACAAAATTAAACAAATAAAGAGACATATTTATAACTTTCTTTTGTTTTACATTTACAAACATCATGAATCCAACAAATGTCTAGGTGGTAAGATCCTAGATGGATCAGCATACCGAGAAGAGAATGAACGAGGAAGGTTATCTGGCTCCATCCACCCAGTTCCATGATCAAAGTTCATTGAATATGATTCTGGGTCATAAATACCCTCCATTGAGCCAAAACCTTTCTTCTTATCCCTCTTGAGTTTTCTCCAAAGCATGTGCCACACTTGTTTTGGGCCATCATGGTTGCTTTGGAAGTGTGGTTTTGTGTAGCTCCGACCCAACCTTATGCTTGTGTTTGTGCTGCTTGAACCGAACCAATACTTCTTGATATCCATTTGCAAATTGAATGTCCCAAGTTTCCCTCAATCCTCAACCTTTTAAAGCAATGCTAGCTAGAGTACTTTTTTCACATAGTATATGAGACATGTCACATGACATTATGATGTAGTTAGTGTGGTATGGTATGTGGGTATTATATATTATTGGGGTTTTGGGGGAAGGAGTGAAGTAGGGTTCATTGGCCTCAATCCTTTCTAGGTTTTTCTTTATGGAGTGGCTCTCTCCAACGTCTAACTACCAATGTTGTTGAAGGCTTAAGTCTTACTTTATCAAACGGCGCGTTCTTATCATTTGGTGCGTGGACCACTCCATATGGCAGCTAGCAACTATCTTCTACTCATTAACCGAATAATAATAATAATATAAAATATTGATTTAAATATATTATTAATATAAAACCTATACTATAACGATTAATTAAATTTTATTTTAAATGTGAATTTAATCTTAAAAAATTGGTTGAGTAAAGCATGAGACATAGTTTTGTGTTTCACAAAGTGACATTTCTAGTTTTGTTTTTATCTACCATAATCCAATTTAGTTTTTATAAGAAATTATTAATAACACTTTATTAACACTAATTAAAAATTATGTAGTTTAGAACTATTTAATAATTTTTTAATATTAAAATTCTTTAGTATTAATGAGAAATTATTAAGTTATCCTATATAACTATGGTATGCAATCACATAAAAAAAAGGTTAATCACCTATATATTGTTAGTGTAAAGTTTTTTTTACATTGACAATCAATCATATCTTTTAATAGTACCATGTCAGTTGCTTATTTAATAAAATAAAAATAAAATAAAATAATTTAAAAGATTTGATTAGTTGAGGCTATAAAAAATTTTACACTGTCAGTATATGAATGATTAACTCTAAAAAAAAACTGAAATACGTGAGTTATTATAAATTTCATAAGAAAATTATTAGGTGATTATGGACCACATAATTTCATAGTCTCTCTTATTATATTTTTTCCTGTAATATTAAAAAATTTAAATACATTGGGACAATGAACTCTTGATTATTTTAGATGGCCTAATGACTTTTTGTTTCCAATAACTTACAGAATTAAATCTTTACCTACCAAAAGGAATGTGAATTTTAAAATAATTATAAGATAATAGTTCATAATTAAACAATAATTTAAAATTAATGCATTTTAAATTCATTAAATTGATAAAATGAACCGAGTATTTGGCTGTCGTGTTGAAAAGGAAGTGTCAAAGTAAGACCGCCGAAAGAGTCATCCTTTGCAAGCCGTCTGCCACTCTGTACCGAAGACTGTGTTCTCACAATGGTTCTTTGAAATTTAAATGTAAGAAAATTAATTTTATTATATTCAAATAAATGGATTGTGTTGAATATTATAAGTTTATCCACCAACACTCTATAATGCAACACCAAATATGTCCACTCTAGAGGTGATTCCATAGTTATTCTTCATAAGTCAACGGTAATGTATAAAATTATGTTACGATGGAGAATTATTAATTTTATTTTCATAAATATATTTTGTTCACGATTTTGTGATATATCAATAACAATATATAAATGTGATACAATTTTTTTTTTTACTTTTTGAAAGAAACTTATACTTTTATTTTATATTCTATTTTTCTGCCTTGATAAACTATTTCTTAAGGATGAAATAGGAACAAAATATGTATGAAAAAAATAACCACTCACTTTATTAATAATAATAATTGTTTTTTTTTTTCAAAGGTACGGATTATCTTTTTCTTTTTTTGCTAACATACATAAAAGACTTATTATATATGAATGACTTTTTTTTTTAGAAAGAGAATACTTAATTTCGACCCTTAAACTAAAATAAATGACTTAAATTAAGAGATTAAGAAAGCAAAATTACTATGTACCGTCACTATCATGATTAATCTATTAAGAAATTTTAGTTGAAGTCATTTTTACCAATATGTCATAACTATGCAAACAACGTTAATGAAAAAAATTGACAAAAATTAAAAGAAAAAATATGTATAGAAACTAAAAAGATATATTATATTTTAAACTAAAGGGATTGAAAGAAAGAGTAAATGGAATTATAAGGATAAAAAATATATTAAAATTACGTGCATGCGTGTGCGTGCGTGTGTGCGTGTGTGTGTGTGAGATAACTCATGTTCTACACACACAAACACACACACAAACACCCAATCACCATAGGCTCGTGCCAACATCTAAGCACTTAACAACATACATGCATTTCTACATATATAAATAGCATAATAACACATCATCATGACCTCATAATCTTCATAACATCATCATCATAACATAAACAACATAATATAAACTATATTATTTATGGTCAATATATCACTAGACCCAAGACAAAAGTCTAATGTTATTATATCCTCAAGACTATTTAGAACTCAACACTCATTCCCAATTAGAACAAGCACAACTCATCCCCTTAGGGACATCAACACTCATTTCCTAGCCCACCCAAGGACATAAAAGCACTTCTCAAAACACCAAAAACACAACTTAGCCAAAACACAATTTTCATTGAGTGACCTCTATCTCGTTCAATGAAAATCCTTCAATACACAACTCTTGCTAGGTGACCAAATCCATTTGACTCCTCAATGAGCAAGCATAGGCTCATTGAGCATCCCAACCAAACTATAGGTTTTCTCATTGAGTGAGCTTCCCTCACTCAATGGCCAAAACATTTTGTTGTTTCCCCTTACTAAGTGAGCTTCTATTGCTCTACAACATTCCAACCCAAAACTCCATATAATTGAGAGAGGCTTAGATCACTAAGCAAAAATCCCAACTCTAGGTTTTTTGTCCTTAATCCATGAAGGCCCATTCAACGATAATCATCTTGTTAAGCAAGAACACACAACACCTCAATGGTGCCTGCATTAATTCTCAAACACTCTCCAACCTCTAACACCAACATGCAATCCATCTAACTTACCAAAACAACATCTAAATCATGAATCTACTCAAACAACACATACAAAAAAGATCTGGGCACAAGATCAAAAGGTCAAGATTCACCTTGAAAGCTTCAACACCCATCATGAACAACTATCAGTTCTCAAAATTCATCCATCAATTTAAAATAGATCAACAACACCTACACTTATATAATCTATATAAGATACAATGAAGCTTCCTTTACCTCAATGAAGCTTCTTATTGAGAAGAATCAAGTTAGAAGAGAAACTTCATCTATAGTTGTTGGAGTTAATCCTAGTGGTCAATCCTTTATCTATATCATGACTTTGATACAAATATATTTTAGTTGTTTTAGATATTATGCCATTGTAGCATAGTAATATCCTTAAAATAAATTATTCATTCAAAGATATATCCAGTGTGACTTGATTGTACGATTCTTAGAAGAAAGAACATTATTCTTAAAATATCCATAGTCAAGCATTATTATTAATTAGGACGATAATAATACATTGAGACTAGTGTGTGAGTCGACTGATGGTCGCATCTTATAGATCGCGGATATGAGATATCAAGTCAAACACACAAGTATAAATATTATGAGGTAATATTTATACTAGATGGGCCAAATATGAGAAAGTTTCATAATAATTAGGCTAAAACCCTAATTTGGTCCCTTATAATATTTTAAAGTTTCAATTTAGTCCTACTTAATTTTTGGGTTCAATTTAGTCCCACCTATTAAAAATGCTAGCAATGTTTGCCTTCCGCCTAAATTTTTCAAACACCGTTTAGGAGTGTCCAAGTGATTGAGAATCATAGGCGTGATTCTCACGGCTCTTACTTAGCAATTTTTTTTTATGTGATTCATACCGTGGGAATCACGGGCGTGATTCTGATGGAATCATGCCAAAGAGGTCAAGAGGTGACACCTTGAAGGACCTAAGAGGAATGGGAAGACATGAAGATTTGGGCTAGTTTAGAGCCCGATGGGCTTGGAAGGCCCAAATTACTCCTCACATGGGCCACACCTTGAGATATCCACTTTCCTCTCTTTGTATATATTATATTAGTATAGGTTTCATATATTTTGGCCTTGTATTTTGGACCACATAGATTAGCATTTTTAGGCCATAGGCTTATTAGGCCTGTTTTTGGGCTTTATGGGCCTCGGGTATTTTGGTACCCAATATTGGGCTCATTTTGCTTCTTTTATTATTTCTTATTGTTTGTATTTGATTGGCCATTGTATTTAGGCCATTAGAATAGGAAATTTTAAGGAATACTAAAATAGGTAAAGATGCCAAATCTAAGTTTCATTTAAGAGTCATTTGAGTTGAATTTGGGTCACATGTTTTAAGCCATGGGTGGTTGAACATGTGCACACCCAAATCCACTTCAAATGCTTGTTAAATGCAATTTAGATTCATTTTGGAGCCATAATTCATGGACATGCACATGGGGGTTGAAAATTTGAATTCAAATTTTGGGCGCCAATTACATGCCATGTGAATTGGCGCCAAGTGACTTGGATCCGGGCCTATTTAGGTGCATTTCCTTCAAACTTGTATTCACTTTGAACCTTTATGAGATTTCTGAACATTCACTTCAGCCAAATCTCTCTCAAAGTCACCCAAAGCTCCTTGCTTAGTTCTAGGAATTCCTTCACTTTTTAGGGAAATCTGTGAGCAATCCTTTGCTCACCTATGCTTGAGTGTTTCCTTCTTTGGTTTGGATCAATCCAAATCCGAATTCTTCTTTATCTTCTCTTCCAAAATTACAATCAAGGATGAAGATCTTGTGAGGAGCAAGGCTAGGGAGAATCATCAATTCATTTTTCCTACCTAGTTCCATCATATTCTCATGACTCTTTAACGACGATTGAAAAATTTAGACGGAAGGCAAACATTGTTAGTATTTTTGACAAGTGGAACTAAATTGAACCCAAAAATTAAAGTGGGACTAAATTGAAACTTTAAAATATTATGAGGGACTAAATTAGGGTTTTAGCCTAATAATTATGAAAGTTTCATAAGCATTTGTCCTAATGACCATAG